AACAATAAAGTGCATTAGTCACAAATTACATTACATAATATTATCTACGCTAAGTGAGGAAGTATTTGACTGAATTTCTGATAAATTAATTGAAGAATTTAAGAAATATAGATATCTAGCAACAACTAAAACAAAACGCAAAACGAAACAAACTGAAACTCGGAACACAACAAGGAGAAGAATACTTAGGCCGTGATTTACATCAATTGCTCGAAATGTCCTCCATTTTGATAAATACACAAACGAATTCGGTTTTTAAAAGACTGTTCAACATTGGTCAGCATGTCTGGCGTAATTTCTTGAAATGCTACTGTAATGCGCTGCCACATACTTCCGCGGTAGTTGGTGATGTAACGTAAACTTTGCTTTTTATAAATCCCCATAAAAAGAAGTCGCAACTTGTCATATCTGGCCAATGCATCTGTTGGGAAAAGTTTCGTGTAAAAACTGACGAACCGCAGCGGTATTGTGAGGTGGAGCACCATCATGTTGCATGCAGGTACATTCTTCTAAGTGTAATTAGAGGAATGTCGCCTAACAAATTTTTGTGTTTGTTAAAAAGTTCAAATAAATTGCTTCTCACACGTTCAAATACCATCGTTGGCTATGAGTTGTCCGGAATTGGTGAGGATCTCCTGTGTGATAATAATGGCTATTATGACTATTAACGAAACCATTTTTATGAAAAGAAACAAGACCCGCTTAAAAAAGTCATGACCTAGATTTAACATCTTGTGTGCCCACTGACAAAACTCCAGTCTCCGATGAAAGTCTACTTTTAGTAACTTTTGGTATGTAATTGGATGCGATAAGGATGTGCATATATCGACGTTGTACTAATACAATTGCAAGGCCTTCTTGACGCTGTTACATAGCTACTTTTCGGACAATAGAAAAGAGCCTGATTTTTCTGGAAATAGGTATGGACAACCTTATATCAGTCGAAAGGGCATTCAATTTTGCATTTAGTCATGACAATTAATATGGGCCATTCCATTTGAAAAAAAAGGTAAGTTTTTCAACTCATAAGATTATTAAATGTAGGTCTCAGTATTTCAGAGTCTGAATAACGTACACGTTTTGCTCACAGATGATAATATAGAGTAATTCATTCAAAACGAACTGTGAAAACTGCTTGTTTCTAACTCTTACGGATTAGACGCTATCTATCATCACTTAGAGAGCTTATATCGTAATTTTTTTAAAAAACAACTGATTATCTCGAAAACGGTAAGTTATAAGCACCATGTACATTTAATAAACTCTACTTAATATTAACCAATGAATTCAAAAACGCAATAATATACAGGGTATTCCATTTAAAGTAACAAAATTATGTAGGACCCACGCGAAATGGAACACCATGTAAAGCTAAAAATATATTCTTTACATGGCCCACATGATTCCATACAACATTTATTAAAACAATTTTTTCATAAATTTTACAGTTACAGAGTTACAGAAGAATCCCTCTTAGATGGAACACCCTGTATGTTAAATAATATTTTTAAATACTAAAAATAAGCTTTAACAACAATCAAGTCGCATTGTATTAGGTAGTAGAACAAAAAATAATTTAACTCGTCTGACAATACTTGTTTAAGTTCAAGTTTGCCGTCTGATTGAGCGTTGAAGTCTCCATGCTTTTACTCATATTTAACATTGAATCGTATATGTTCCTGAGTCATTGGTTACGGTCTCTTGCCTTGGTGTTATTTTTACTGTATAATGCGCTACTTTTTAATTAAATTATAGACCAATGTATAACTAAATCAGAATAGCTGATATATGTCACGCTCAAAATATTTTCAGTAGAAATGATCTATGCAAAGAAAGAAGAAGAAGATGTCGTAAGTGGTCATGAAGAGTTGAAAAGTGGAATAAATCATTCTTCCTAGTCATTTTTCATGTAATCAGTACTGGGTATAGAAACCATTATGTGGTAAAAATTGGCTGAATTGTAATTCTTGAGTTCAACTCAAACAGAAATAGTATGCAAGATAAATGGTCATAAAATTTGTTAATTACGTCACATAACCTTAAGTTATAAAAAGGTATAAGAATTTAGCGTAACAATAGTAATTTCTACACTTAAAATTGATTATAACTTGAGAGAAGTGGGGTTGTTCCTACTAAATCCACATCAAAAATATATTGATTAGGTATACAGGGTGTTTCTTAATAACGTGCTAATATTTAAGGAGGTTTTTCTTGGGTCCATTTTAAGAAAAAAACTTCATATGAACATATGTCCTAAAAGTCTTAACCTTTGAACTACAGAGTGCTAAAGTTTTATGAAAAAACTTTTTTTTTGTGATAACTTTGGTATTACCCTAGATATTTTTTTAAATTAGCTACACGCCTTCTATTCATCGAGATGCATTTTCTGATGTAAAAACAATTTTATTATTTTTGCCAGTGGCGTCTGTACAGGTTTTGTATTGAATATTTTTGAAGAAAAATATATTACGCCAGGGTAATTTTCTTTTATCATTCCAAAATGTATGTCGATTACTGTAATTTCATAATTTCAATGTTTAAAAGTTATTATCTTAAATAAATAAATTGTTCAAAATTACATAATTTTTTTTCTCGTAAATAAGATGAATTTTATTTTTTTATGCGAAAATCGTACGTCAAACGAAAAAATTCAAGACACCATATTTGTTCAGAAAGAAATGAGGATTTCAAAAATGATTTTTACTTAAAGAAAAAGCAGTGGCGTAACATATTTTTCTTCAAAAATATTCAATTCAAAACCTGTACAGACGCCACTGGCAAAAATAATAAAATTGTTTGTACATCAAAAAATGCATCTTGATTAATAGAAGGCGTGTAACAAATTTGAAAAAATATGTAGGGCAGGTAATACCAAAGTTATAATAAAAAAATGTTTTTTCATAAAACTTTACCACCCTGTAGTTCAAAAGTTAAGACTTTTAGGACATATGTTCATATGAAGTTTTTTTCTTAAAATGGACCCAAGAATAACCTCCTTAAATATTAGCGCGTTATTAAGAAAAACCCTGTATAAACAACTAATAACAAAATTTAAAAAGTAAGCTTTTTATCCATCCATACAGACTAAGGACAATAAAAGTATAAGGAAAAATACTACTGCAGGATTGATCACGTTAAAATTCTTTTTTCAGGAGTGGCGGTGCTGAAAGGATATCATTTGTTGAGGTTGGACAATAACGGAAGAAATAAATTTAGTATGGATGTAGGTATCTTATTTAATTATGTATTTCTATCACACATGTACACTGATGAGCATCTTAAAGTCCCCACTAGTTGGGTCGCTCTCATTCTATCGCGCCCCACCACAAATAATTATGGAATGTTTCGGACTGGGAGTGGGGTGTGTGGAGATATACTACACCGTGGCACCAAAAACTCTGATATATTCGATAGGGTAAATAATTAATCTGATACCAGTTGCATTTGATATTTTTTTAAATATTATTTTATTAATGATATGTAATGTATTGTAACATTTTCTTGGTTAGTTAAATCATTATATTGAAGAATTTTTTAAAAATAAAATGTTATAAACCGTTTACTATTTTAACCATTGTTCACTACATCCACATACCTGCATATTTAGTGTTTTCCCGTATTAGAGATATTCATTTATAAATGTTGTCTTAAATCAATACATACAGGGTGNGTATCATTAATAAAATAATATATTTTAAAATATCAAATGCAACTGTTATCAGATTAATTATTATTCACCCTATTGAATACAACAGTTTTTGGTGCCACGGTGTACATTTCCAAACAACACTCCCAGTCCGAAACATATCCAATTATTTGTGGTGGGGCGCGAGAGAACGAGAGCGACCCAACTAGTGGGGACTTTAAGATGCCCTCAGTGTACGTCAATACTCAATGGCATTTTTGTATTTAAATTCGTCTGTTTAACAATTATTTATTGCTTTTTTAATAAATTTAACTAAAAAATATATTTCTTAACAAATGAGAAGAACCAAACTATAGAAATAGTAAACTGACCTTTTTTAGAACAAAAAAAAATAGTTATTGAAATTTAGATAATTAAATAAACTGATTATAAGATACTGAACAACTTTTTACCTAATATTTTCTAATTTGGCAACAAATCAAGCAAAATTTACTACTACCCTATGAACTAGGGAGCATTTATAAATTCTTTTAATAGGTAGTTAATTTAGTTGTTAGCATATCTTTGCACTACAGCGAAAGATAATTTTCATCTGTTTTTCACGTAAATGTATAAATTTGAGTTTAACCCAGATTTTGGTAAAAGCAAGTACTTTGAAATAAGCAGTCTTGAGACACGGCAGGTAGGGGTAAAATCGAGTATGCCCAAAATCAATTCAAAAGTGCATTGTAATCAATACTTTAACCTGTTTCGATATTAGCTAAGGAAACGCAAATAATTTATTCAATTTCTGATGAAACTGAAGATGATGAACCAATAACGTAATAAAAAATAATTTTATCTGAATTACCTATGTGGAATAACTACAAACCGTAACTAAGTACCTACAAACTACAAACTGGATTTTGTTGACTTTAACTGTAAGAAATACACATAACTTTAAACTGGTTGAACCCCATGCTGTTGCTGATGTTACGCCCATGGTAAGAACATAATCTGACAATGTTCCATTTTACAAATCTGTTTTTTTTTTCAACAGCTTTTAAAAATGCATGAAACGCAAATTCCATTGTTTATAAAACGATACTTTTTAATGATTTTCCGGAATATTTTTTTCTTAAGTAGACAGTATTGCACACTTTCTTCTACTTGGGTAACATATAAAATATTAGAAAACAAAGAAATATGTACTAATCCTCATCGTATAAATTAAAGAAAAAGAAAAGCATATACTTAAGTTTATTAAAAAGAAACTGGCACGTAATTCCTCGACCTATTGGTGAAATTTATGGATCACCTCGAGGAAAAATGTAACCCACCATAATCCTTTAAAGGTTAAAGTTCAAATACTCACTGTGTTGGCAAATCCAGTACAGGTAATCGAGATTACATCCTACGTCATTCCAGAGCCACCCGCGCCCACCGTCAAGGACTACGCAGTTCTGTTCACCGTTGTAATTGTTGGGTTGATCCTTTCCCCATGCTGGGCGCTGCACCAGATCACCTGTCGCCAAACAAGGAAATATTCAATTGGAGCGAACTGTATCAATTTATAATTAATTCTGTCAATTATTGATTAAATGGTTTGTAATGGCAAGTTAAACACGGTGGTGAGTAACAAAAAGTGGGTGAGCGTATTAAGGAAAGATTCCGGGTTTGGTAGGTTGACCAAATTTTCGGTCAGTTTTTAGGTCACACCTACAGTGTCATTTCCAAATTAATAAAGAAACACTAATATCTTATTACTATTGAAAACTATATATAATTTAAATGCACCAGTATTGTGTGGTATACAGGGTGGTCAAATGAAAACGAAACAGAGCCATTTTCAGGAACTACGTCAAGATTGTAGAAAAACGCTCAGACCCGTCGATTTTAGATTAAAGGGGGACATTCTTTGCTGGTACTTTTGACTCCGCTACTTTCACCCCTAAGCAAGAATAAGCATCGCCCCAAAATATTTAAATGGCATTGAGGGTTGAGTAATATTTCTTTTGAAAGCTATTACAATTCTCTTCACAACAGACTTTAAATTTTATGATTCCGCCCAATATTTATTAAGAATTTTTATTTTAAAGTAAACTTATGTACAAACAACTAGTAACGGTAAAAATGTGAGTCATTCGAGTTAAGTACGCCAATGGTATAAATTTAGTATTTCTTGCGTTACATTGGGTTTTGGCGATTTGTTATCACTTTCGTAAAAAAAAAACACAATTTTAAAAACAGAAACGAATTAACGTAAAATTAGTGGATTCCAAATTATTTTCTAGTATTATTTGGAAGAGTTGGTTGGTAGTTTATTTAATTATGTTTTTGAAAATTAAACACTATGGTTTATTCCATTGCGGAAAGGGTAGATATCATTTCGCTTTACTTTATGAACAATAAATGTGCGAATAGAACAGCTCAGATATTTAATGATCAAGATCGACATGTCAGGAGGAAGTATGTTCTAGAGTTAGTAAAAAAATTTCAAGAGACTGGGAACATAGACAATAAAAAACGGGACATTGAAAAACCCATAGTTAATGAAGGTAGTGAAGTTGCAGTTTTGGGACAAGTTCATCTTGATCCTACATTAAGTACGAGGTCTGGGATCAATCGAACTAGCATACGAACTATTTTGAAGAAGAATAAATTCCATACATACAAAATACATTTAGTCCAGGAACTTCATGAGGCTGATTACGACCGCCGTTTGCAATTTTGCGAAATAATGAGTGAGCGAGCAGGGAACGATTCACAGTTCCTTTTTAACATCTGTTTTTCTGGCGAATATAGTTTTTTCTTGAACGGGACGGTAAATCGTCACAATTGCAGCAATTGGTCCGATTCAGTCCCAAGAGTTTTTCACGAGGTGCATACACAGCAACCGGAAAATGGACTGGAATTTTCGGTGACCGGCTGGTGGGTCCTTTTTTTTCTACCTGGTAATTTGACTTGCCAAATGTATTTGCAATTACTGGAAGACGCTATTGACCCTGCCTCGACTGATATTATTGAAAATGTTCTATAGTCTGATGAAGATCATTTGATTTTTCAACAGGACGGTGCTCCTCCGCATTATGCGTTAATTGTCCGTCAGTATTTAGACCAACGTTTTCTACGGAATTGGATTGGGAGAAGAGGTAGCATTGAGTTGCCTCCACGATCACCGGATTTGTCGCCCCTTGATTTCTTTTTGTGGGGACACCTAAAAAGTAAAATTTATAAAACACAGCCAGCGTCACAGGAAGATTTGCGTCAAAGAATCGTTGACGAATGCCGTCGAATCACTCCGGAAATGCTTCGGAATGTGCGCGAACGTTTCGAACAAAATCTTTATTCTTGAATGGAAGCGGGCGGTCATCAGTTTGAACATTTAATCAACTAAGTAGTAAGTAAGCAAGCAACTAAACATAATTTAAATTTTAAAATGAAATTTTTTTTCAAAGTATTGAGCGAAATTAGAAAATTTAAAGTCTGTTATAAAGAGAATTGTAAGAGCTTTCAAAAGAAATATTACTCAACCCCCAATGCCATTTAAATATTTTGGGGTGATGCTTAACTTTGCTTGGGGGGTGAAAGTGGCGGAGTCAAAAATACCAGCAAAGAATGTCCCCCTTTAATCTAAAATCGACGGGTCTGAGCGTTTTTCTACAATCTTGACGCAGTTCCTGTTATATTTATGAATCAATAAAATCTTTTTATTTATTTGTATGTCGTGTCACTGTCACTTATCATCGCGTTGGCACTTGTCACATTCTACTTCTGTTTAAAAAAAAATGTTTTCATCTAGGAATCGATAATTTCGTCAATATTTCCGCTTCCGCTTGAATTTTTTTCTATTAGCAGTTTGTAGCTAAAATTGCATGATTTTGAAATGTTTCTGCGGAAATACACATAAATATTGAAAAATTTATTCCAGCGAATACTAATAAATCTAAAAAATCAATGCGGAAGCTATTCAAATACTTTTGTGTCTTAAGAGTTTGTGTGTTAGTATCCACCAATTCAGTGAAGCAAATTACTTGTATTTTAAAAAATTTGGCATGAAATATGTGAAAAATATACCAATTCTTTTATAGAGTATGGTAAAACAGTCTGGAATGTAACTGCTTATCGAAAATCTATCTATGTGAGGTGAGATTTAAATCTGCAAGAGAAGCAAGAGTTGCTGCATGACCTTCAAAGATTTTAAAAATGTAGGCTTTATGATAAAAATGTGCCAAACAGACTTCCAAAGGAAATTTTTCGATTATATTCTATGATCTGGCCTTTCGAAGCAGCCAAATGTCTGCTTGGATTTTTAAAGAAGAAAATTTCGGTAAAGGAGCAAGTACCGACAGAATTGAATGCAACTTCATTTTTTTTTAAATGTGTCAAAAAGGGAACAGCGAATCGACTGACAATAAATGGTTAATAATTAACATTGCTAGTGAAGACATCTGGCCTTTTCAGTAAGAAAAAATGTGCAATTTCAGATTAGATTTTTTTAATGTTATTTTACACTGCATAAAAAAATGTCATATCGAGGTAACCCTCAAGACAAATCGACAAATTCTTACCCCAAACCCAGAATGACATAAAAATAATATATGATACACAAATATCCCAGTTGGTGGGAATGAAATCTCATAGTGGATAATAATTTACCTATGTTGTTCTCGGGCTATGCTATGTGGGGGCAGAACCCCTAATCCCGACCTGATGTTGATTTCGATTCGTTTACTGGTTCCAAGACCGGTTGGAACAGATCCTCATTATATGTCCTATCACAATATAGCGCAGGCTAGATACGTTTAGATATGTGTGCAGCCACATCGATGCTGTAAGACCGGTGACGAGATCTTAAACGGCCTTAGTCTCGACAAGGTTTTTGCAGAGCCATAACTGAAAACGGTGACTGAGAAGAACTGCAAAACTTTGGGTGTGGTAGTACCCGTATAGTATAGGAATCGCCTCCATAGAGCTTAGCTCGAGAACAACAAAGGCAGATCAAAGGCCATAGCATAATAACCCAAAAAACTATGGTAGTTAAAACATGTGGAACCAAATTTTTATATTCTCAAAGTAATTGATTGAATTTTTGTTGTCATACACCTGTCAAAATTTTTGTTTACTTTGTAATAAAGAAAAAAAAGTAGAATATATATTTTTTGCTAAATATTGATCGTAAACATTTTGTCAAAATTTGTATTATTATATTCAAATATAATAGAGAGTATGTGAGTACAAATGTTTTAAAATAAACGTCCATCGCATGAGTCTGTTTAGTTCTAAATTGCAAAGTGACAATAATAGGGCAGTTTCTAGAGAAAATTATTTTAAGTGCAACTGCAATGATTGAAATAACTATAAGAGGCAGCACTTTTAGAAGATTCGGTTAAATAAACGAAAGAGTAGATATACGTAAATTATGTACAATTTTCCGACCTTTTTCTAATCTCTACAGCTTGGTCAAATAATTGTGAACACCCGGTACTGTGAGTAAGTAGTGAATCTTTTATGATTATTAATATTTTTGGTTTGGAAATTTTATTAATACGACATTTTAGGTGTTAAAAATAAACCATTAACCAATAAACGAAAAACTAGCGTTGTATTTTAGTAGCTTCTGTGTTGGGATGCCTTTCAAATTGCTCAACCCATGTAATGCAATTATTTTCAACAACTGTCTTCCGATGCGAAAATTACAAAATAAGTCCACAGTTCACATAATAAAGTACTGGAAATCATTGGGTAACCAAATTAGCATCACCGTCATGGATTTATTAACTTTAGTTTCAAACACTAACTTGGTTGAGATATGAGCATTAACAAATAAAAAAAGACATGGGTATTAAGAAATACTTTGCAATTTTTGACGAAAATTGCACTTTATGGTTTTACAAGCGCTTTCTGTTAGACGGCCAAATCATTTACCTACTTAAATATTATTGCTGTACAACGCAACTAATTATACAGGATGATCCAAACCAATGCGTTACCGCTATAGCTCATTTCGAATTAGTATTAATGACATTGTACAGGGTGTTAAAAAAAAGAGTGTAAAATATTTCAGGAGGTAACAGTATGAACCAAAATAAGGAGAAAAGTCTTAATAAACATGGGTCCGCAGAGTAACGGTTGCGGAGATATGGACCACTATTCGTTTTTCAAACATTTTATTTTATTAGGAATAAACCGACAAAGGAAGCTTTTAACAAACAAAAAACAAAGTTACAGACTTGCTCTAGTTAGCGGGCTTCCGACAGTTTTTTTGGTTTCGAGGGTCTGCAACTTGGTGTACGATTTCTTCCCCGTGGCTGCTTCGATAGATACTCTGGTAGAGGCTCCCACAGGCTCCTGCATGGTCTTTATCTACTGCGTTAAGTAACACCATCAAGGCAACCTGCCGCTAGTGCTGCACAAACCAGATAAGCCTAATTTTAAGTTTGCATGCCGTTTCGTAGTATTTCGCCAACTCATTTAGACCCATTTATTGCGTCATAACTTGATTTTTCCATTTGCTCATTGTTT